GGTTTTCCTATCGTGTGTTGTAGGGGAAAAGCTTCTACTACCACGTGTTATTGTGGTTGCACGTGACTTATTATTTACACACATCTGCTTCTCTACAGTCATCTGAACAAAATTGAATATTCTTAAGGACTGCCCTTGCAGCTAAGATGACAAAAATTTTAAGCAACTAAACAATTAAATTCAAATTAGATTAAATACCAACCATTCAATAATCAAAATATTATAAGAAAAGGTTGGAGTATGTTCTTAGCGTTAGGATGATCCCACTCCAATGATTCCCACCATTCTTTTGAGGGTCTATTTATCCAAATTCCTGTGAGATGAGGAGGAGGAGATGGTTGACCATTATCAAGCATGGGAAGCTGCACAGGGATCCTTTTTAACTCAGGACATTCCTTTATTGAAATCTGTACAATAAAATCGCAAACCATGACTCCTTTGGCACTGCAGATGCTCTTCAATTGCGGTAACCTCCACAACTGCAATCGCTCTAATTTAGGAAAAGTGAAACTGAATTTATCCGATGATGCATCTGAATCTGATGAGGCTATTATCTCCTCCATTTGTTCACAACTATCAACTTCAATCACCTCTAAGTTTTGGAAGGCCTGTAGTAGCTCAAGTGGAAGCAACTTCCTCATTCCTGAACATCCTTCTAAATGAAGTATCCTAAGATTGGAAAAGACACGTGGCGGTGTTGCTACTCCTTCCATTCTCACGAGTGCCCATAACCTAGGCAAATCCCAAAGACGCAGCTGTTCAAGCTTATCAAGTACTGGTTTACACGATGAGGAGAAGGATGAATCCAACTCAACCACGTACTCTGTCTCTTCACAATCACTAATAACACAAACACCCAACTCGGTTGCATTCTCTGACAAAACTGTTTTGTTTAAGCAACTTCTGATGTTTTTACATTTATGGATCCGCAATTGCTGAAGTTTATCTGGAAGCACTATACATTCTTCTCCAATGTCACACTCACTAATTATAAGTCTGCATTTATAATTAGGATTGTGAATATCTTTATTATGGTCCATTTCTGTTCCCACTAGAAGTTGGTAAGCTATAAAACTCTGGAAATTTTCAAACTCCTTTAGAAGATAATTGAAGTCTTGCATATCACCAAAATTACATTCTAAAATCTCCAACTTTCTCAATCTAGCAACCTCTTCTAAGTTTATCTTTACACTATGTATTCCCCTTTCGCTTGTTACCACCAAATACTGGAGACTAGATAATTTAGACAATATTCCTGTTGGAATCTCTTTCAAATTTGTCCAAATTAAATCAAGATATTCAAGACTTGTCAACATCTCCATGCCTTGAGGGACCACCTCAATTGATGCCCATCTTAGATCCAACTTCTTCAATGCCACAAGCTTCTCTAAGGAAGGCAAGCACTTTAACCTCTCACACCCCCTTAACCGTAGTGCAGAGAGATACTTCAGCTTAGAGGTGGAACTAGGTAAAGCTTCAACATGAGTTCCAGAAAGATCAAGAACCTTGAGTCCACTCATATCCTCAAAAAAGGATTTTGGAATCTCTGTCAAAGGATTGTCCGATAATATCAAAGTTGACAAGGTCGGACACTTTGGAGTTAGTCCAACAGGAATTTTTGCAATGTCATTCGCCATTAGAGATACCTTCTTAAGATCTCTGGCCCACCCATGCTCATTCGGTACCTCTATCAATTTCATACCAGTTTTTACCATATATCCAACTCCAGGACCAATGCTTCTGATAGCCATGTCTCTCACAACATCATGCATCTTAATTGCTCTCCCTAAATGTCTCTCTAACAAGCTATTCTTTTCAAGAACATCTAAAAAGGCATGGCCCCTGTCATAAGCTGCTTCCCTGCTTCTCAATCCATCCATTAGTCCTTCATCAATCCAACCTTCTATCAATTCCTCCCTTTTAAATAAATAATCTTCGTGAAACAAGGAGCAATAAAGAAAACAATTCTTTATTTTCTCATTAGGCAAACGATCAAAACTAAATTTTAACCGCATAAATATCTCATCTTCTGAACCTTTCACACTCTTAACACATTCTTGTAATTCAGTCAGTGCATTTCTCCACACCTTAATATCATCCACTCCTTTCATG